CATCTTGTATGGAATATATAATTCTACTTTTAAAAGATTAACATCTGATATTCTACATCTAAAAAATTCTTAAGTAATATATAACTGATATATGTGAATTTGAAGTTAAAAGTTAATGAATATTGACACATCTTGTATGGAATAAGTAACAGTTCAACATTCCAGTCACCCATGGTTTATTAACCAAAAGTAATATTTTTTAATGATATTTTACGGCGTAAGACTTGAAGCTAGTCTCAATAAGAATTATTTTCTTTTAAGTAGGGCAATGTTTTTTTTTCAGTTGTTAAGAACTAAGAAGGTAGGGTCATATATGGTTAAAGCCAATGACTAAGGATCGATTTAGGAAAACAAATAACGTTACAAGTTGATATTTAATTAGTATCCCTAATATATAAATAAATACAAGGTGCATCAAAATGTCTTGAGACCATGATGTTAATATCCAATGAGAACACACATTTAAAAACTAGTGAAGTCCTAAGTCGTAAGAACTTTTAAGCCCATCGGTTCATGTCTCCACTAATCCTAACCGGTGGGTCCATTCACCTATCGAACACTCGCTTGACCGCAAGTACTTAAATACCATCATACCACCAAAAAAAGTACTTAATTACCAAAGAAAAATCTTTTTCTTTTATATTGATTTTCATCCCAATGTCACATTAAATCACTAATTTCATGTCATTCGCTTCAATTTACAAGGGGTTTGTTTCATTCTATATCACTTATCGATTGAAATAGTTATATTTCATACTGAAATTCTATTTCCTTAGTTATGAACTTATGATTGTGAAGTTAAGTATTACAACAAAAATATGTTGATATTAATTGATTTAATTATGTAAAGTTGTCTTAAAAACTGAAGTAAACTTTTACTCTACAAAATGATATTTTGCTTATTTAAAATGACAAAAAAAAAATGCTGCTAAGATTTGAAACTGAAAGTTTGCATAAGTTATAACTTAAAAGTGAACTATGCTTAATTATTGTCATCTCGTCCTATGAATCTCTTACTAGTACTATTGTGAGACAAAGATGTTTGGTGTGTCTAGACAATTGGACCGTTAAAGTTGATCAACTCGTAACTCAATTTAATTTTTCATCTAGTACTAAGAAAACGTTACAGACAGCGACAAACCGTGCATGTAAGCATTTACAGATCATGACAATAATTTTTTTTAAATGTTAAATGTTTTTTTTTTTATAGATTTGGTGTAGAGAGATAGTTGAACACCTTGAATGATTTCGATTAAAATGATTGGGTTGGAAGAATAATGTGGACGCGGCAAGTTGTAAATTGTAATTTGCAAAAGATGAGAGAAACAAACAAAATATGTCCTATAAATGCATGAACTATCTAACTTCGTCGATTTGACGTAATCGTCATTTGTTTAACATTTAGCTGTTTTGTAAACACTCTGTAACAAATTTACATGACTTTTTTTTAACAGAATTAGTCTTAGCGATAATAATACTGCTGATTCTTCTCGATCATTGAAAAAACTTTAGACGTGTGGGGTTGAGGGTATGGAAAATAATTTAGATGGTGAGGTTTTTGATGATGCAATGAAGTTTTGTAGCTTGGATGGATATAACTAGTGCCCTTTATATCTTTTGCTTTTGCTAATTTTGAGAGAAAATGATAGATTGTTCTTCTTTTTGTTAATAAGAAGAAAAAGAAAGTAAAAAAAGAAAAGGAGAAGATCTTTTGTTGGAGACCAAAGAAGGTGGGGAACAAACTCAAGACATAAGTGGAAAACATAGAGTTGTATAGATGTAGGCACAATAGCTAGGCGTATAGGGTGCATTAATATGTTTGCACAAAACATTATATTAAAATACTATACGGGAGGTTAGGAATGTAGTAAGGATAGTAGACGCATACATACGACCCTAATCTGGAAAATTCCGATTAGAATTATCTAAATGATATCACAAAATGGGAAAATATACTATAGAAAATATGCCAAAAAGGGTTTGACTATGAAAATTAAAAAGTAGAGAGGGAAAGATAACCGGCAAACAAATCGGATCAAATCACATTTGACTATTATTTAGCACATCAATGTTGGACTAGGCATAGTTCTAGCTAGTTTTTTAAAGTTAATTATGTGCGCATACATCATGCACATTGCACAAGTCAATTTTGGTGGAATTTTTGAGTATTTATTCTTTGACAATGAGATTAATTTGTTTCATTGAGCATCTGATAAGACTTCATATATGTTAAAGTTTGATTATGTTTTCGACACATTTTACCATTTGACAAACAAATCTTTCACTATCTCAAAATTCGACCACCTTTGACTTTTAATGTATAAAAAATCGGCCGGGCTTGTTAAACCCAAGGCGGATCGAAATATTGTTATTCTATAATCATGCCATTGATTAGCAAACATAAAAAATTCAACATTCAGCATCATGGATATATACGAGTGTGAGAGGATTTATGTCAAGTATTTAGTTGGTTTATCTTTTTTCTGTTTCGTCAGTAATTGGTATTTCTTTTTTTATTTCTTTTTAGTTTCAATGTTCATATAAGGTTTTTGTAAAGTATCAATGAGGCCAAATAAAAAAATCTCCTCGATCGATTTAGTGATGAAGGTAATTTTCTAGACTTGGTATTTTTACATATTTTAGAAGGATATTATTTTCCAATGTCGAAAAACTGTATGAGCATTTGAATAATTGGTAGACACCTTGCAAATTGAAAATGAGGTAATAATTAGATTCATTCAATACCAACTCATAAATTTTGAAGACAAACTTTGGTAATGGAAAAGCTTTAAGCTTTAAAGATTTGTGTTTGTGGACCAAAGTAATGTCTTGGAAATGAACTGTTTGGCTGTCTACTTAGTGCGATCAAGAAGACAAAGAGGAAGACGAAGAAGAAAATGTGATGAATGATGATAAGATGGAGAATATTTGTTTTTTTCTTTCTAATGAATATGTTTTCTAAATTGGGTTTTTCGTAAAGATAATTGTTTCCTCTTTTTGTTGAGTTGTGGTGTGTCTGTGTGTGTGTTTGTGTTTTGGTCATAGATGCATGATCCCTTTACTTGTATCAATAATATATTTGTATGGTTTATGTGTGAGTGGGTCTGAAAGATAAGGAGACTTCTTTTTTTTTTGGTTTTGTTTTCCCTTTTGTTGGTATCCCACTTTCTTCAATTGCTCCCCATGAAAATTTATATGTCTCACCATTTCATTATCCTTAATTTTTTGGTATGAATGTTAATTTCATTATCCTTTTATGTGCATGTTTTACAATTTTAACGAGAAAATCAATTAGACAAATTTCAAAACATCAGTGTTTAAAAATACAACTTTTATGTGCATGTATATATACGTTGTATAGTGAGAAACCATACCGTTGCTATGCTCTACGATGTAATTCTATGTAACTTTTTTTTTCACAGTAATTCTATGACGTAACTATACAAATAAATTAAAACAATTACATATGTATATGGTGTTTATGTGCCATATATATAACTTTTGTGTATATCCATGAATTCCGCAAGTACCAAACATGTGCACGTTAAAGATTGTAATTATGTATTACTTGACATCATTTTTTGTTAAAGGGGTTTCTTGTGTGGTATTACTTGACATCTCTTGTGTGGTAGTACTTGACATCGCCTATATAGTTATGATTATTTCCTTGTACTTGTGTAAGAGCTAAGAAACACAATAATAGATTTTTGTTTTGGATTTCTCGAGTAAGCCACTCATTTACTTGTAAGCTATATTTGGGTTAAAAGCCCTTCACAAATAAGTAATGGTAATCTTACAAACCAACAAAAAAGAAATGGTAGGAAATCAAAGTTGAGTTGACACACTTGTTTGTTAGTGCCCACATTGATTGGGTAATATTTTGTTTCAGACAATACTTTTTGTTCCAAAATATTTATCCAATGCATTTTATTATTATCTTTTATCAACAAATCAATATGAAAAATTATTGCATTGAAAAATGTTTTGCTTATTCTGAAGGGAAATATGTTCTTTAACCAAAAAGGGAATATATGTTAACATATGTGGCGATCAGTAACATAAATTTTGCAAGAGCAATTATTATGAAACAAACATTTCTAGTTACATTTTCAGAATTTAATTATAAAGTAGTAAATTTAATAATTCAGAAAAAGCATAATCATAAAAATTCACTAAGTTATGCATACGATACATTATAGTAAAACAATTTATAGAAGAATATGAAGAAAAATTGATATCATTCATAAAGTTTCGGAATTTTGTTTCTTATCCAGTTCTATACGTGCATGTGTTATGATAAGTTGATCATCCATGTGTTGCCAATCTCACAAGATCCACAATTTAGGCGTTAAGCCGTTGAGAAAAGAAATCCTAACATGGTCATGCTTTACTTTTTATACAAGTTTTAGGAAAGACGTTAAAAAAAGTCATAAAATGGTCAAGAATCATTTGATATTCAAGAAGGATTTCTCCACGAACATCCATATGTAACAATCTCATTAGATACACAATTTAGGCGTCACATGAAAAGAAATCTTACCATGGAATTAAGGATTTACTAAATTACTAGAGTGAGTTTGCTAAATGATTTTATCAACAAAACAAAGTTTTCTATATGATAGAGATAGACTATAAAGACAGCAACAATTAAAGTCAAAAGAAATTTCATAGTTCCCTGAGAATATCAGTGAACATATTTGCGTGTCAGTGAGTCAGTCTCACGCTCACATTTAGTAAGCAAACAAATAATTACCATGAACTCTCACACTACAAAACCCCATTCGAGTTAAACCCCATTCAAGCAAACACAATATATTTACATCGTAAAGAGTGTCTTTTTTTTGTTTTTTTTTGTTTTTATAAAGTTTACATCCTAAAGAGTTAAAAAATCACTTCACATTTTTCCTGATAACCTGCAAAAATGGATGTAAAATAAAAACTAAAGAAAATAAACATTGTGTGCTCTAAACTAGTAACCATTGTGTGTGGTCAATGTGAGATCACTCAAAAACAGAGACTTGTCCGTCCCAGCTACAAGACGCGACCACGTTAGGCAAAACAGGATGGTACGCAACATCAACGCAGGGATGTTCATAAGCCCTGAGCTTCTTAACAAGCTCAGACGACTTGTAACCGTACATGTACACCGAACCATCAGACGAGCCAGAGACTAAAGTTTCTCCGTCGGGGCTAAAGTCGCAGTTTATCGGGAAACCAGCGACCCAGTGACCTTCGTACCTCTTGTACTTGTTGAGCTTGAAAGGCGGGTTCGCCGAGAAGATCGCCGTGTAGTTCCCGTGTGACTGCGCGACGAAGACTTGCTCTTTCGGGTGACGTTTGACGCAAGGGCATGTGTACGCCTCTGCATAGACCTGGTTAGATAGAGGAACCTCTCTGGAAACATCCCAGACTATCACAGCGTTCTCACTTCTATTACTGCCTGACACATCGCTCGAAGAGACGAACCGCTTCCCGCCGGAGATAAACTCAACATCAAGAACCGGTCCAAGATCTCGGACGTTGTACTCATGCACAGCTTTGTTGCTCCTAACGTCCCATAACCTAAGACTGCCCTTGAATCCTCCTGAGAGAAACAGGTTGGAATTATCCGGATGGAACTTAGCAGCTCCAATACCCTGATCCTCCTTGAAAGTCTGCGTCTCTACCCCTCTTTCGACATCGAACAGCCTCGCCGTGCAGTCATATCCGCAAGAAAGCAACGATAGTCCCTGATTCGACCATTTCACATCTTTCACCGGTGCATTGTGATTGAGAAAAGCCCGCACTTTCTTCTTACCGCTGCTCCACACGTTCCACACGTAAACAGCACCGTCGAGTCCCGCTGAGGCAAGAAGATGAACTGCAAAACAACTCTAATGCACAAATGAATGAGGCAAAAGATATTGGCACAAGCATTCAACAAAAGATTGGTTACTAGAAACGAGTACTAAGCATATCTATGCAAAGATTTCACCTAATACTTAACACTGAGACTACACAAGCCAAGCAAGAACATACCATGACTAGTTGACCAATCAATAGCAGTAACAGCCTTTGCGTGACCGGTTAACGAAATCGACATTCTACTGGGCATTTCGGTTCGCCGTGACGATCGAACATGGCGGGGCATTTCTGAGTCTGAGATGCTCCCGAGAACTGAGATTAAGAAAGCTTAATCCATTTTAGCAGATACAGCAACAACAAAGCTAATGGCGATGATTATCCAAAGGTTGCACAACGATTAAGAAAGCTTTAACACATTTTAGCAGAAGATAACAGCAAATTGTGTTGCCAGATGACGATGATTATCCAATGTTGCTCAATGACTAAATTTCCAGTAATTTGAACAAAAGCTAACACCAAACACTAAATCCTAAAGCACGGATTAAGGATAATCGGAAGTACCAGTAGGAGAGGTAACGGAGGGTTTCTGAATCAAATCCGTAGCCGGATTTTGATTCGGAGCCGTTGGGAGAGAAGCTAGAAGCGATCGCTCTCTCTTGGAAACGTACCGACCTGGAACTGAAATCGGAATCGGAGCTGGAGAGCTCGTTTGAGGATCTGAATAAGTACCATACGGAGGATTCGGTCGACGAGCTGGTTTGTGCTGTCGATCCGCTGGTCCTGGGTATGGACGCTTCAAAGGAATAGACGGTGGGGAGATTACAGATGCGAATCGCTTATCGGTCACTAGTTCGGGTTCGGGTTCGGGTTCGTCGTCGGAGTCGTTGGCGTACGAATTGCATATAAGATCCATCGGGAAACTCTCTAATTTGAACCACCGATCGGAATGTTATAACTGAATTCGCAAATTCGATTGTAGCGGAAAACTAAGATGAGTAGAGGAAGCTGGACCTTTCGTGGGCTTTATTTGGGCCACGAGAATGACCTAATAAACTGGGCTCTAGTGGGTAACTTATCAGCATCAAAATGATGGTGGTGGCATATTTTTCCAAGTTGCTTTTCTAACGAAATTTTTCTTTTAAGTCCATTTTTAATGGGGCAATTCTTTAAAATACCACAAAAATATATTTTTGTTCATCTCATACTATCATTAATTTTATTTTTCCATATTGTACAATTTTTCCATAAATAACATAAAACTAAAACTAGTTTTAAACTCTTAAAACTAAACTATAATTTTTTAAAACTAAAATATCCAAATATTTCATATACAATTTTTAAAAAAATTATGTTATTTTCAAAAAGATGATACAGATTTTTTTTTTTCAAAAAAAAAGAAAACTAATGATGATGTTAGAGGAACAAAAACTTATTTTTGTGGTATTTGAAAGTATCTATATTTTTCATTCAATGGCGAGAATAAATATACTTATGTGACTAAGATCTATGTTTTGTCGAGTTTATTCTTGTTAATCTTTACAAATGAATTTTTGTTTAATATATTTATAAATGTAAATCATATGGAATAATTATTATTTTTGTTAATTTCATGTTATATAATTTTATGCATTTTACGGTGACCGTATATATTTGGCGGAACTTTCAAAGCGATAGCGTTTATAAATAAATAATTGAATTAAATTAGTGACTGAAAGATATTTTAGAATTTGAACGTTTTATGCTTGTAACGTCCGTCAATTTGTCGTTATCGATATGTTTATTTTAAAATGATGACGACATCTTTAATTCTATATAAGTAAGTGAGAAGTCATAGCATCTCTTGTAGAAAAAAAAAGTCATAGCATCTATAGCTTTAGAATCGTTAAAATTTTGAGCGTCTCTGAAACCATCGATGCAAATCCGCAGCGATAAAGCATTTCACCATTGAACAACGAAGATAAAAGAACGATGAAAGAAAATAAGGTTAGTTTGATTTGTTCATAGTCATGTTCTAATTTATATGTTAGAATACTTTCAAAAAACCCTATTTTCATTTGTCTGTCTAAGATGTTTGATCTTATTGCTGCTATTTGAGGGTTGCGTCTTCATCTTCTAAACGAAGTTTCAGTGGTCAGATTGTTCTTCTTTGATTCACAATAGATATATCAAAATCTCAACATTCTGAGATGAAGACAATACAATCAAACGATTACTTATCTTTCAAGATCCATCTGAAATAAGATAAGTACTGATTCTTTTAAATTTTTGTATAAAATCATTGAAATAAAATTTATATGAAAAGTATAGCTAAACAAAGGTCATTAGAGAACAACATATGAAAGTTGTAAATACACTATCCAAAGTAGCATTTAATTTATTTTATTACAGATAATAAATTTTAAGTAGCATTTATTTTATTTTACTACACATCATAAATTTTTCGGGGGAAATGATTTGCTATGCCCTTCAATTAAAGTATAAATATTTCTTATAAACCGGTAGTTGAATTAAATTTGTGTTCAAAATAGATTTTGGTGGTTGGACAGCATTCCTTTCTATTACAGACAATAATCATAAAGAAAGAAGTCCAGTTATTTCATAATTAATTTCTTAATTTGTTGACAGTAGTATATTTTTATTTTATTTTTTTGAATTTTTCAAATTCACAGGCCCCACTGTTATAGCTGAATTTATCTTGTGTATCACACACAGGTGCGTTACAATTTCTCCAATAAAACTCCCAATAATCACAGGGACCCACCTGACTAAACACAGAAAGTGGCAAAAAAAAACTTAAAAAGCAAATGCTATCACAAGTATCACGCGTGTGCGACTGCATGAGCCACACGTGGGCCAATCTAACCACCGGTTACCTCCTGCGTCTTACACAGTCCTTCACGAAACAAACGACCGCTACGAATCAAAGCGACAACTCACCTCCAGGTAACCGGTATATCGGGTCCCACTTTTTCCAGGTGTAACTAATTTATAAGCCATTGTAAACTAGAAACGGTCCCCTTGTTGGTTAACGTAATCATTTTCTCAGTTATGGGCCCTACTGTACCGTGGACCGCGTGACTCTCTCACAGTGGCAGATTCGTGATTCTCTCCACAGTTGTGATTTAATTATAAGAAATAATTAAACATCCCTTAATTAATCTGCTTTACAAGATACGATGATTTTTTGCAGCTCATGTTAATATCTAATGAGTATTTAGTTATGATTTACATAGAGATTTCATTTTATCTAAAATAATATTTAGCTAAGAGTAAGAGATAGATTTGAATCATTTGAAGTAGAGAAGGACGAAAATATCCTTGCGAAGAAGAGTGAGCTTTTTTGCCACATAGTTTAACTTTAACCGTTTCTATGAGCTTTTTTGACTGCCACATAATAACTGTTACTTGTTTCCTTTCATGCAGAAGCCGTATGAGTTGTAGCTTGCGTGGAACACTGCTTAAACACAAACTGGTTATCAAACTTGAATAAGGTTAATAATATCTCTAACTGATGTTTGGATAATATTTTTTTTGGAGTTAATTTAGTGTATAATATTAAAAAAATCAGGAAAAACTTAATTTATGTGGCTTCATTTTCAGTTAATTTTTAGTGAATAAATTAATTCCACCAACATTGCTCCCTGAGCTGATTTAGGGGGAATTTAGGCTGTTGACAAAAAAAAAAAAAAAAAAAAATGAAATGAAGCCACATGAATTATGTTTCCCTGAATCTTTTAACATTATATCAAGTTAACTCCAACAAAATATTAACCTTATTCAAATCTATAACATTTTCGTCTTCAAAGAGTGTTCCATGCAAGCCCCAACTCATACGTCTCCTGCATGGAAGGAAACAAGTAACGGTTACTATGTGGCTGATAACATTCTCGTCTTTAATTGAGCTATTCCAGTATGAATAAGAAACGTTTCAAAACTTTGGCATCTTTTGTGATAATTCCAAAAGTTTGGTTTTATCTATTTTTGCGAAATTATTTGGCGGTGTATGCTAATGTTAGCCATTTGTCCAAAATACAGCATTTCTTGCACTCCTTTTTTGTTTTAGGTTACTTTTGATAAGATATACAGTATGTAGTTACTAAGAAGATTTCATCACCAACAAATGGAAAAGAAAAACAAAATATTATTATATAGAAGTCACATGATGAAGCATTCTGTATTACTCCTTAAACTATCAATTTCTAGTTAACATCTAATTCATACTCATTAGGTGTTGGATTACCCTACAATCAAAGTTATTTATTTACATCAATAGCACATTCGTATGGTACACTATTTTAAAATAGATATGCGTCTATTTGAAAATATACTCTTATCAATGAAAACTTTAAGAACTTTCATATGTGCCTTATTTGTTAATACACATTTGTATTTATTTATTTCCACGGCTCTCAATGTTCTTAAGCTAGTTTAGGTCTGTCCAACCACTCTTGAGATAATTTCCATTTTCTCTCAACAATTGTATAAACCTGTAATCTTAATCACACTTGACCATATCTATTATACATGGCCCCATCCACTTAGCAATCAAGGGTACTAACGTAATTTCGTCTTCCCTCTTCTTCCTCCTTTATTTAAGATCCTCTCCCTTTCATCTCTCTCTCCAATTGAATCATCATCACCGTACTCTCTCTCTCTCTCTATCTCTATCTCAGTCAGTGAAAAAGCTATGAAGAAACTCAACTCCCAAATGATCACTCTCATTCTCTTCACCACTCTCCTCACCTCTCCCTCCTCGCAGTTGTACCCGACGATTCACGACGTTCTCGTATCAAACGGTCTCCCGGCGGGACTCTTGCCGCAAGAGGTTGATTCTTACTCTCTTTACGACGATGGTCGTCTCGAGGTTTACCTCGACGCGCCGTGTCTCGCCAAATTCGAGACTAGAGTGATGTTCAAATACACTGACTCCGTCGTGAGAGCGAACCTTAGCTACGGGAGCCTCACCGGAGTAGAAGGATTGACGCAGGCAGATCTCTTTATGTGGCTTCCGGTGAAAGACATCACCGTCGAGAATCCTAATATCGGCGTCATCACAATTGATATCGGATACGCTTTGAAACAGCTTTCTCGCTCTGTCTTTGAAGAACCTCCCAAGTGCACACCTCAAGGTACAAAAATTAAAACGTTTTACAATTTATTTATTTTAAAGTTTTGTTATTTGGATTTGCTTAAGCGATTACAGATTACGACGAATCTATAATCATAATTTACGGTAAAATGTAAATAGAAAAAGACTACTATAGATAACCTCAAATTTAATCTTATCAATTACAGAGTTAGTTGGAGTCTAACTGTTTTTTGCTCTATGGTTGTTGTTCAGTCCTCGTTAGTTTTTTTTTTATATATATAATCGAATTCTCGAACGGGAGAGAAAATTGTAGAATTGAGTTACATATATTAGTTCGTTTTCCCAAAAAAAAAAACAAATTCATTTACTGTGGGGAATATAAGTAGCCAGTAGTGACAGTGAAGTCATGGACTTGGGTTGTGTTTTTTCTTTCTCGTTTATGTTTCGACGACTTTGAAAACTCTTTTGGCTTTTACTGTCTGATGATCTCTTTGCTAGTTTCAATATGAGTCTTGTCTTTGTAACTGCTGACATAACATACTTTCCTTCTTTCGCTTTCTTGTTTTTTACTCGAATAAGGAGTATATTCTTTCAGTAACTTTTTACCAAAATTTATCATTTGTTTTTAATTTACCATATATGAATAGAAAAAACATGTGAACTAAATATTATTTACAATTTTATATTTTTTAGTTGAAGTAACCCACTTCAAGAAATGGAAACAATACATAACATTTTATTCATAGTAATTAGATTTCTAATAACATTTTAGTTTTGGTTTTGTTGGGAGGTAAATCAAGTTGAATACTCTAAGCTTCGATTTCTGTTTCAGGCGATGTGACGAAATTGATGAAAAGGGATGGAGGATTTGAAGCTCTGAAGATGAAAGGTCAGGAAGAAGGGTGGAAACGAATGTTCTTCTGAATCTGTTTCCAAATTATGGACTGATCAGTAAAAAAAATGGATGCTAATTATATGAGTAGATTCGATTGTTGATTGAGAGTTCTTGTAAAAATGATATTCTCAATGTTCTTATCTATGTTTAATATGTTTATGTTTTTGTGTTAAGTTTTTATGTTTCATTTTACCAAAAAAAAAGTTTATATTTCATTATCGTTGACAAAATTGATGATGTTTTGTTAATTAACATAATGTCTATGATTTTCTAAGCATTTACTCTTCTGGTCCAATGGTTATAGTTTGGTAATTTTTGTAGTTTTTCGTGGTATTTACAAAGTTGTTTTTAATCGTAGATTAACTTAATTTTTCTCAAGAAATACATTATGGCTTCAAAGGTTTTAACTGACTTGTTGAAAACTTCAAATTTCATTTATAATATTTTAGTATTTTACATATATTATAACAAATACATGATGATAATTTTGAATTTAGAGTTTAATCATATGATCATAAACCTAATCCACACGGATTTCAACTGTCCGGTTTACAACTCCCAAAGATCAAATGGATAAGAGAATATCATTACAGTTGATTGATTGAATAACGAAAACATTTTAGTTGAATAGAGTGAAAGTAGATTATCAATATTTCCGTTTCTTGTATATATAGTTAGATTTTAACATGTTTATACTATATCGCGTTATCATTAAAAAAAAAAAACGAAATCCTTAATTAGGATAATTTATGGATTCATATGGTTTGTGTTGTGTATATAGTCGGTCGCTTTACCATGGTTATTTTTCATGCACTTACTGGACCAAGATCCTTAACAGATTCGGTTACCGGAGTCTCCAGCTTCGGATTGCATCACACATGCTTTTGTAGATGTTGTGCTATTTGCCAAGAATATCGTGAACTCAAAAACCGTGGTCTTGACTCTTGACTCTTCTATTGGTAAATGCATACTTATATGAACGTACTTTTTGTTTTTATTTAGATTGATTTTTGTTAATTACATGGAGTTAGTACATCAAATAACAAATTTCTGAAGAAAAAGGTGTACCTAACAACTAACTTGTTTATTTGTTGACAACTATTATTTTGGTGTAATAGGAATGGGAATATGCAAGACGATCTCTCCTCCTATGCAAGATTCGGTTTTCTTGTTTTGTTTTGCTGTATTTAATTTAAAAAAATGATGTCAAATAAGGTATTTTCTCCTTCTTAAAATCAATCAAAATCATCAAAAAATCGCAACCATTTTCCCAAATATCTCAAATCCTTTAAATTCGGGATTCTCAAAACGACACAATTCAAATACAAAATAAAACTGATAAATCTTAAATATCTCCCATAATTAAATTTAAAGATTTGTGGTGTCTCAAAACGACACTTATATACCCAAACTCCATTCCTAAAACCTTTCATTTCACCAGAAGACTCCATTACCTTACGATGGAAAATCAATGGACTACTGGTCTTTGCAGCTGCATGGAAGACGGCAAAACTGGTTAGATTTTTTTTGATAAAAGTAATCGACTTGTTATTAAATATTTATACACAGAGTAGTTCTGCTGTGCCCATTTACAATGATTTAACTAATTTTCTCTTTCTTGTGTAATGCGTTGGATAAGTTTGCCTCACATGCTTTTGCCCGTGCGTCACTTTTGGTCGAATCGCGGATATTGCCGATGAAGGAAGTACCGGTAAGTTATCCACACATACATATAAATATGAATGTCAGAATGTGTGTGAGTGTGCATTGATCATGTAACGTTTATATATGTACGTAGGTTGTGGAAGATGTGGGATGTTTTACGGACTGATATGCTTTGTGGTCGCTTTACCATGCTTGTTCTCATGCACCTACCGGACCAAGATCCGAAACAAATTCGGGTTACGGGAGTCTCCAGCTTCGGATTGTCTCACTCATTGCTTTTGTGAATGTTGTGCTCTTTGCCAAGAATACCGTGAACTCCAAATCCGTGGTCTTGACCCTGCTCTTGGTAAATGCTTTCTTATAAAAAACCTATTATCGAATAAAGTAACCATTTTCAGAAGAAAAATAATCATTAGGAAGAAATTATGATTCATACAGAATTAGCAGTAACTCCTTGTTTGATTTGTTGACGTTTATTATTTTGGTGTAATAGGATGGAATGGGAATATGCAACGGGCGGTGTCTCCTCCTATGGGTCAACACATGATGGGTTGATTTAAAATTCATATGTTTTGCAATATGATTTTGAATAAGTGGATTCACAACTACATCACTTTTAAGTGTTGTTTTTATATTCGACACATTAATTTGAATTATTTCAGTTTTGTTAATTAATTTTGTCTTGCTATATTTTTATAACTACTTTTGTTTACAGCAGTAGAATTAACAGAAAAAAAATTATGAGGACACAACCTTTTTCATATACCCAAAATTCAATTAGAAAAAAAAAAAAAATCAGAAGAAGAATGTACGTTAATTCAACTTTCTATGCTAATTAACAATTCCAAATAGATTTGTTAAGTTCTTGTTGATCTTTATAAACAACAAAAATTCCAAACCATTCGTCTGTCTGATCACCTCGCATACTATCACATCAGCTCTTCTTCATCTTTCGCTGCTTCCGGATTGTTTTTGTAGTCACTCTCCGCACGCAAAATATGTATTCGTTCGTTTTTACGGATTGAGAGACATGATGGTTATATACTCGAATTTGAAGATGAGAGAGATTAGGGTCGATCGGGTCTGACCTTTGATTCAGAAAATTCCCATTCATGTTCAATTCATGTTGAAGAAAGGTTTTGACTATCGACCGTTCTATATGGTTCTTGATCATTGTTATTAGAGAATTAGTAACACTACAAGCGAGTGAGCCCAAGAAGCTAAGATGTGGGGAAGTAGTTAACAATGTCTTATCTAATTTTTATGCACTACAAAGTTTTGTATTGTGGTATCGTGAGTTTTAAGTTTTATATGTTTGGTTTTATTAAGAAGTTCCCGTACTAAATATAGTAATTGTAATTCCCATGATCAGAACCAATCCATTTCTCAAAAGATCTGCCACAGATTTAAATCTTAAATCAAATTCAATAAGTGAGTTATTACGTAAGTAGATTCTCATTTCTCACACACGTCTTAACATAAATGTCCTTGATTTTTCTTGCACAAGGTTCAAAATCATTACTACACCTCACCAAAAACATCTCCATAAGAAAAGAAGGTAGAGGCTAAACCGGTAAATTACAATGAACCAAACCGATCATTTGGATTAGGAAGTAAAACCTTGATTAGACATTTGGGCCTAATTAGGTTAAATCATTATTAAACTCCGCCGACGATTTCTCGCTGACGTCATTTTGAACTTCGCGGATAAGGTATCTTCCTTTCTCCTTTAAAAAAATCAATCAATAAAATCTCTCTTCTTCGTACGATCGGATTCGCAACCATCACCACCGTTTCCCAAATCGAGAAAATATTCGCAGCCATGGGAGGAGGAAGAGTCATGACGGCGGCAGCTAAGGTGGCTGGGATCGGAGTCGCCAAAGGAGGATTGAGAGGAGGTCTCGGATTCCCGACGGCTACGCCTTCGGCGAACGATCAGTTCATGGTGAAAAGATCCGGCGTCTCTATGCCGGTTTCAGCTTCGATTTCGTCGGCGGTTCATCTCTCCGCGGAGGAAGACGCGATGCATATGCAGAGGCCGGTTTGGGACGATTGGGAATTTCCCGAAGTGGAGTCGATTCCTAGGGTTGTTTTCAGCAAACCTCCTTCTCTCCAGGAGGCTAAAGAAGCCACCGAAGATCTCAAAGAAGCAATCAATATGTAAGAAAGGGCGATTTTAAAGTTTTTTTTTTTTCCCCTTTCACTCTCAAACCTCGAATTATGCGAATTGAGTTAATTTAGGTTCCTAATTTCTAATTCTTGATTGAAATTTTCTGAGCTAAGCTTTAGTTTTGTTACTAGGGGTCCATGTGAGATTAGAAATCAAGAGAGCAGAATATTTTGTCATAGTTGTATTGTATAGTTGAGATTTTTTTTGATCATTTTGACTCTGTTTTCTTGTGATTATGATTGTTTAATGTGGTGATTTATGGACTATCAAACGTGTGTTAGGGCAATGGAAGGGTCAAATGAAGGTGGCTCTGTATCGAAAATGCTCTCAAGTTTTCAAGCTTCTGAGAACAGAGCTGTTGAATCAGCTGTTCCACAAGTCGCTCTTCAGGCTTTTGCATTTCTCAGTGAAAACTCCGCTGCGCAGGTAAATAATTGAGTAAAAAAACTCTCAGATTGCATCATTTTGTATTGGCACATTTGCTACTCTTTCACATGTGTTGTTAATTTGTGCATCACTACATTTTGAGAGTTTCAACTTTTTACAGACTGTTGTTGCTTCCATTGCGTGTGATCCAAAAGTGTGGGATGCAGTGATGGAAAACAAGGATCTCATGAAATTTCTCGAGACCAGCAGATCCGGTAAAAAAAACAAACATTTTACCATAACATTTTGTAAATCCGTTTGGTGTTTTGAATGTCCTTATGACAAAGAAACTTTACCGTTTTCAGTTGATTCATCAAAGGCTGAATCAGAAGACAATGGCGAACAATCTGAAGATTCGAGCACCACGACCGAGAGTGAAGACAGTGAAGCAAAGACGATTGATATCTTGGAGATTCTGAGAGACATGAAGCTGAAAGCTATTCGACTGATGGAGAATGTGTCTTCCTACTTTGGTGGTTTGTTCAAGTCGGAATCGTTTACAGAGGATGGGAAAGAGAAGAAGCAGACTGTGTACAACGACCCTCGTTCTCTGTTTGGATTAGCTGTTTGCGTCATCTTCATGGTAGTTATGAAACGTGCTTGAGAAGATCCAGGAGTTTTTATAATTTGCCGATATAGCAAAGACAAATCAAACTACTGTGATCTCTTTCTTCTACTTCTGTTCTCGTTTAAACTTTCCTGTTTTTCTTTTTGGTTTGGAACTGTCTTGGATCTTTTCATTATTATAAATAAAATGATCCTTTGGTTGTTTAATTATTTTAATTTAATCATATTTTGTCTGTCTACAAAATATTGTTAAGCAAAAAATAGATTAGTCTTCGTTCATCATTCAGTGATCATTCTTTTACATGTTGTTATAGTGTCTTTAGGCTATAAATAATTGTATTGTGGCCGTTATAAGATAACACGAAAATAGCATCATTTTTTAATACAAAAGCTTAGGGAATTTATTGGTTAATGGATTTTAATGAATTTAGAAGAAAAAAACCAAAATCTTCCTTTATTGAATTAGTGATTTAAAAATATTTATCAAAATCCATCCCTTATTGATTCAATGACTTATAAATGCTAGTTGAAATCCTGTGTTATTGATCTGATTTGAAATTTAGATTTGAAAATTCACTTTTGATTCCAGTGGACCTAAAAGTGTTTTTAAATCAAAAATGAAATAAAACTAAACTTACTGTAAAACCTTGTTATTTCAAAATCTATCTTTCTAATTCTAAATTTTAAAAAAATTTACATGAATTTTTAAATCCATAAACCAATAAATACCCGTTTAAAAAATGTGATGGATTTAACATTTGAAGTTTTTTTTTTTTTTTTTGGTGGGCATTTAACATTTGAAGTTTGAACTGCTGAAAGTTGGAATAACCACCACCGTTATCCTGACTAGAGAAAATTTAGTGTGTAAATTGTGTTTAACATCTTAAAATGTTGGATCAACATTAACTCAATCATTTATGATTTCAATAATACACGAAAAATGAACAATAGTCTAAATTTGTGTATAATATTTTAAAATTGTCTCATAAAGATCTTGTAAGCATAACAATGTTATTTGGAAGAATAAACAATGTTAGTAAACATGTTCATAAATGCTTGTAAACTTCGTTTTCTTATTTTATTAGAGACGCTTATGTGATATTTGAAAGTTTCCAGTCCAATCATGTATTTGGATCTGGGTGAAAGTGCAACAAATGTTCCTTTTATTCACATACTTACAAAAACAACATGTCTATTCCTCCTTATGTTTTGTATCATTTCTTTTATGGCTATTTTCAAAGTTAAATCGACCAAGATCAATATTCAAATCAAGATAGTAATAAAATAATGTTGTTAGATAGAGTCCCTGTTGACAAAAAAAAAAGTAATAAAATGTTGTTCTTGAGTGATTCATCAACAAAAATAAACACTTTCAAAATTATCTTAGTTTAAAGTATATAACTAATTTAATAAATAAATTTTAAAGAAACAAAATTCAGATAATAAATGCAAAAAATATGAATGGTTTGTTTTGTTTAAAAGTGATAAACAATTAAACATCCGCACTTACCTCTCTATAATATTTTATTAAAATACTCTCTCTGTTTCATAAAGAGTGTCATTTTATAACAATTTTAAAAATGTATTTAATTTCTGTTTCATATTTCATTTCACCATTTTATTATGTTCTTCATTTCACCGCCACCGACAATTGCATACAATACTCATTGTATCATTTCCTTAGTTAAGCTTAATTCTAGTTGATCTCATAAACTTTCAAAATTATGAAAACGTTTAAATATTTTCGGTATAATGAAATGTAAAGGTATGAGATTAATGTAAAAGAATAGCTATGTATTTCTGTTTTTTTTTTGGGTCGAAAGCTATGTATTTCTGTTGATATAAGCTCCACTTAATTAAATAATTTCGAGGATAGATATATCCACTTTTAAATTTAAACAACTAACATATATTTATTTCGAAGAAAAACTAAAAATATTATTATGAATATTTATTTAGCGTTTTTCTTCTTTTCCTTACTACTTCCTTCGTTTCTTATTACTTGTCGTTCTAGGAGATTTCATGCAGATTAATAAAATAGATTAAAAACTCTATTATACCCTTAAAAAGCAAATTGACTATTAGTATTCTTCATTAGATCAAGGTTAAACTAGGTATTTAATATTAAATTTTGCATTGGAAAGTGAAAACGACAACTATTTTGAATCAAAAATAAGGCTAGAATGACACTTATTTTGAAACGGAGGGAGTAATTGCTACAGTACTGGCCGGAATCGTGTAAAGATGCGGTGGCGCTTGCCGTGAGCTAATCAACTCGGTTGTCTTTTTAACGGTCAGATATTGACACGACGCAACGAGTCGCTTTGAAAATCTACAACTGTGCTTTTAAATTCACTTTTCTAAAATCAATTATATCTGATACATCTATATCTCTGCTTCAATCATCGTCTCCGAGTGTTGTCAACAAATCCTGTAAAAAAAAATTGAGCTTTTTCTTTTTCGTATGAACGTATATTCCTACTCTATTCCGTCTTTGATCTATCACTTCGCGTAAATGATACTATCTCTTTCTGTCGCCTCCTCCTGCAGAATCTCACCGGAATCTGATGACGAAGTAGAGCTAAGATCACCAATCCGTGACGAATCAAGTAAGCCTCGAAACCATCGAGCAGAAGCTTTAGGAATCCTTGTGAGATTGTTCTTATAGTCCACATAGTAGATCCCGAATCTAACAGTGTATCCCGAGTTCCATTCCCAATTATCTAGCAACGACCACACGAAATATCCTCTCACATCGCACTCATCGTCCCTGCAAATCAAAATAAAAATCGTTACTTTAACATTTTTCCCAGTTAATAAACTTCACTGGCTTGGTAAAGCTTTTTACTTTATGGCAGCTGATAAGTTTGAGAGGTAATCTCTGTGGAATCTGATCCTCTTGTCATCTAGTAATGCCTTCTCCATGTCCATGAATGGGTTGTTCTTCTCATCCATGCCTGCAACATATCTCTCTCAAATGCTAAAAATCTGAACTTTTTCTGATTGATGATTGTTTTGTTTACCGTTTTCTGTGATGAACACAGGTGGGTTTCCATACATGTCTTTGAGATACACTGCAAGTTTCTTGATTCCCCATGGGACTATGTGTAGCCAGCTTGACCCTGCCTGATTCTCAAAAGTAAGTCTCTTTGTTTAGTTTCTTTGATTAGACAGTAAGGATTGGAGACATACTCGTTCTCCAATAGCTACTCCTCCACGGGAAGCTACAGAGCAAACAGAGTAGAAAGATTTAGACTTTGAGGTGTTTTTGTTAGTAGTAATGAGAAATGAATGGTGTATGATCTTACAGCTTGTGATAACGGCTGAATCAGATGAAGCGTCTTGCAGAATCAGTTTCCTTATCCGAGTTCTGTCGTTTCTAGCGTATAATGTAGTGTAGTGGTTGATTCCAAAGTAATCAAATGCTCCTTTCATGGCTTTAGACGTCTCTGGTGTGATCTTAGGTAGTCTCTCTTCCACTAGTCTCTTCATTGAAGCTGGATAGTCTCCGTTGATTAGAGGATCCATAAACCTAGTTTTAAAAAATCTCATTCTGTCACTTCTCTTTGTTCTTGTAAACATCAAGATAAAAGGATCTTGTTTTGTATTGTTACCATCCAATCCCAAAATCCATTGCTCTACGAGCTGCATCTCTGTCCTCATCACAATCAGACATTGGCTCATACCATTTTGCATCTAACGATATCCCGATTTGACCACCTTGTTTCTCCTTTGCATATATAGAAATAAATTCACACATTTTCATTCTGAACCTTAAGAATCATAAGACTGTTCATTTGTGTGTTTTGTTGTCTTACCTTGAAGTTCCTCTGGTAGGTGTGGTAAGCAGCAGCATGAGACAAGAGAATGTTGTGAGCTACAAGGTACGGTTCGATGGATGACTTCCCTTTCTTGCAGAACCAATGTCCAAGAAGTGAGCACCTCCCTGGAGCTTGTACCCCTGTGTCATACCCTTGGATCGCTACACCGTGTGGCTCATTGAATGTGATCCAGTGCTTCACTCTATCTCCAAACGCTTCGAAACAGGTGAATGCATAACGCTCGAAATCATCCCTGCACAAGATTTGTTTTAGCTTTCTTGTCTTAGCAAATCACCTCAACATATTCACATTGATTTTATCCAAAGATCATGTGTATACTCACACGACTTGTCTGCTTAGCCATCCTTCATATCTGTCTTCTAAAGCTTGAGGTAGATCCCAGTGATACAATGTCACATAAGGTTTGATTCCTTTGGCTAAAAGAGCATCTATGAGGCTGTTGTAGTACTTAACCCCCTCTGGGTTTGCTTCTCCTGTTCCATCTGTTAAACACCTCAAGTTTAACAAACTCATTGAAACGCCCATTATCACAGCTTAAAAGGATGAGACTTACTAGGGAATATTCTTGACCAAGATATAGAGAATCTGTAAGCATCCATTCTCAGATCTTTCATCAGGTCTATATCATTCTGTGAAAGCAAAAAGATTCAGAAAAAAAAAGTTAAAAAGGTTCTTGCTTGTTAGATTCTCTCATTTAGCTATCTCCTGTTGCGTCTTATCTCAGTTTTGTTTGGATGAGGTTGCTCTGTGAAGAAGCAAACACTACTTTTATCTTCAAGCTTAAGTCAAATAATGGTTTCTTGGTTAAAAAAACTTACATGAAACCTATGATACTGATCAACCGTAGTATCCGCATTGCTGAAATCTAATATCTTCCCTGTCGATCAAGAACAAGAACAAGAAATTGACTAAAAATCTGGGTTGTGTTTGTGACTATATTTTCTGGGTTTTGTTTTGTTTTGTTTTGATACCTGATTTCTTGGTGAAAGTGTCCCATATGCTTTGTCCTTTGTTTCCTTCATTCACAGCTCCTTCAAACTGATATTTTCTTGCAATTATATCAAGATCTTGAACTTTTTGAAATCTTTTCTTGGATCAGTTTTGGAGAAGAAGAATGTCACCTGGTAAGCGGACGAAGCTGTCCCGAACACAAACCCATCTGGGAAACTCGCTCTGCTGATAGTTTCTGACGAAA